GTTGAGGTCCTCAGGGGCGTAGATCACTGCATTTTACGTGGAGTAGATTTCTTTCTTAGCCCTTCCCCCCCGGGCCTTCCTGCGCGCGGTCTGATTGGGTTTACTTTGCTTGCATTTAGAGTCTGTACCAGGTTTACTACGGTAGCGGCAATACTAAAGGATTTATTTTTATACGAAAACATTCGATACGCAAACACAAACCTGGATGACCGGATTGTTGGGTATACGAAACCCTTTACAGCCAAGACATATACCCGACACCTACAGTGGGATCTTACGCCTTGCACAATAAATACCTAGCTATCAATGCTATAATGGAGTAGCAAGGAATACCAAAATGTAGGTGTGAGTGAGAGTGTGCGTAGGATAAGAACCTGAGGCCAACTTAGCGACAATCTTCCATCAATAGGGGCTGTGGTTTAGTGGTATAATATTCCCTTAGCATGGGAGAGGTCCGGGGTTCGATTCCCCGCAGCTCCAACTTTTTTGCCCTTCTCTTGTCCTCTCGAAATTTGGGCCCTGGCCCCTGACCCTGATATTGCCTGATCGGGGAATCCCGGGCCTGCCCGCCGGGCTAATCTCCGACCCCCAATTGGGAAATCTCGGTCCTCCGATGGCTGATTTGTATTTTTACCAAGGTGATCATCATGATATTGATTGCAGAGCTTTGCTCCCTGTACCCCAGATCAGCGGCCACGGTCCCAACGAGATCTGACAAGCATTTGTTCTTCGAGCCACGTCCCGAACATAGGGTTCATCTCAGCGATCGGGCCCCCCTAACCTCAGCCATCACGAGCTCACAGGACGTGAATTCATCCATTGACTCAGCCCCACAGACATCGAACTACTGAGTATTAGACCAAACAGATTCTCCCATGCTTCCAGGTCCCCTGACGCTAACAGCGGCGTGCTCCACACCCACACAGCCAGCAGACCACATAACGTGGGTGCCGGAGATGAAAGATTCACGCTAAGCCGGCTTACCCTCCTTCGCTTGTAGCTCGGGCCTAAGAAGATGACCAGTGATTTGCTGACCCTTCCTCGGACCTTGCACGCTTTCGGCCCAAGCAGTCTAAGCACACTGACAAGCCTGGATTGGCACTGGCTTGGAGCCTCGAAGTGGCTCTAAGCCCGTTGACTATTGAATCGCCGGTTATCCGGAACCCTGACGAGGGAACCTAATCAAAGTGGGATGACAGTCATAAAGGCTGCCCGCTCCCACCTGCATAAGTGGAGATTTCTGTTCTCCTTTCTTGTGTTTCTCACCTCGTTGGGACTCCTCTCAGTCTGAAACCTCCTTTGCTCGGTTGTTGCGCCCAGTCAACATGCGTGGTGCTTACCTCCTTCCGGTCCTCGGGCTAGCCGCCGCCCCCTATGTGGATGCGCTTCAGCTGCACCGCCGTGATGTGCCTGCTACCGTTCATATCACCCTTGAGCGCAAACCGGTCACCCAGCCAAGCCGGAAGAGGGACTCTACGGTTGATGTGACGGTTGATAATCATGTATGCTCGCCCAGCCGCACTTTCAGTGAAGTAGACACAAGGATTGTGCAGACGACTGACAAGCCACATGTAGAGCGACTCTTACTATTCCCTCAACTTGACTATCGGGACGCCCCCACAGAAGGTGGTCCTGTCTCTGGACACCGGTAGCAGCGACACCTGGGTGAATACCGCAGACTCGGACGAGTGTTCGGCCAAGGGCAACCCCTGCAAGCCTTACGGGACATACGACTCTGGCGCCTCGTCGAGTTACAAGAAACTCTCCACCTTTATGAACGACACCTACGGAGACGGGACGAATTCTTATGGTAACTACGCGACCGACAATGTCACGATTGGGGGGACTACAATCAAGTCAATGCAGTTTGCTGTCGCGGAGAAGTCAGACAGCCCCCGTAAGTCTACCGCCGTTGTTCGCACGCAAGCGCAAAACCCCCCCAAAGAGTAGTTCATACTGACACGATCGTTCTCCACTGATAGAGGGTATTGCTGGCGTCGGATATGCGCGCGCGACTTACCAAGAAGAGTACGACGGTAAAGTGTACTCCAATTTGCCCCAGGCGCTTGTCGACAGTGGCGCCATCAAGTCGCCCGCCTACAGCGTGTGGCTCGACGACGAGGACGCGACGACGGGCTCTATTCTCTTCGGCGGCGTGAACAAAGCCAAGTACCTTGGCGAGCTGCAAACTTTGCCGATTGTGCCTCGCGACGGCCAGTACGTGTCCCTGGCCATCGCCCTGACCGAAGTGTCCGTGGAGAAGAGTGGCTCTAGCTCCAAAAAGTACACCACCAGCCTGCCCCTGTCCTGTAGCCTCGACACCGGCACGAGCATGACCGCGCTTCCGGAGGACCTCGTCAACGAGATCTACAAGGAGCTCGATGCGGGCTACTCCACCAAGAGCCAAGCCGCTTACATCGCCTGCAGCGCCATGGAGAAGGATTACAACGTGACGTTCGGTTTCTCTGGCGCCACCGTCACCGTCCCCGTCAGCCAATTGGTGCTGCCCTATACCGAGCCCGACTTCGATCAGGGGGACTGTATCTTCGGAATTGTGCCCAGTCAGGCTGGCATGAATCTGCTGGGCGACACCTTTCTCCGCAGCGCGTACGTGGTCTACGACCTGGCCAACAATGAGATCTCGGTGGCCAACACCAACTTCTCGCCCGGCAAGGATGACATCCTGGAGATTGGGACAGGTACCAACGCCGTGCCGGGAGCCACCCTGATGCCGTCGGCTGTTTCGTCGGCGACGGGCAACGGGGTGGAGCCCACCGGAACGGGTGCTGTGTCCGAGCCCACGATTATGGTCTCTGGCACCGTGACTCTCACCCAGGGTGGCAGTCAGCCTACCGCCACCGGCACTGCAGCCTCCGTTGAGAGCACTTCGTCCGAGGCTGGGGCAGCCGCTCTCCCTACCAGCAACTCGGGCCGACTTTTGTCGGGTCTGGCGGGTGTTGGCTTGCTTCTTGCCCTTTAAGCTGTCATGTCTGCATGCATTGACACATTGCCTTGAACCACGTTTACTTTCAAGTGCCTAATACCACCCGTGTGCACTATCACATATTTTCTGTCATATAAAGCTACGAACACCCCTCACCACATCTATTCTCAGCAGTATGATCTACATATCTTAATGAAAACCTTAATACCCCTCCAAGCCTCAATCCCTTCGTCACAAACCTCGGCATTAACAAAACCTACCCAACAACCCCCTTTCCCTCTAGACCTCACGAACCACCCCCAGTAGCGTACTCCAACGCCCACCGCAACACCCCCTTCCACCTCACCGGCAAAGCACCATAAATCCCCCTAACCTCCCGCTCCGGAATGCCCTTCAACCACCACACCTCCTCCGCTCCCTTCGCCAACGCAAACAGATACCCCAGAATGACTAACGCGCGGGGCCTGCGGTCCGCCACGAGCCCGACAAACGGGGCGGGAGTCATCGGCCCAAACGAGGAGAAGCGCTTCCGCAGATCAAAGCCCGCCTCCCCATGGTCTACGACCGCGACGTACATCCCCTCCAGGTATTTGACGCATTCGTCGTAGACGGCGCGGATCTCCGGCGTCTCGCCTTCTTCGTCAGGGGTGCAGTCTAGAAGGAAATGGAGAGGTCGGATTGTGCTGCCAGTGGATATACCGCCATTGGCGTTGTTGCGCATGTTGCTAGTAGATGTGGGGGTAGCGGTGGTGGCGATCGCGACGCGGGAGGTGATAGCAGCCGTCGCAGCGCCCCCATGCACGAGCGGCTTGGCCATCAGCAACGGCGCGATCCGTGCCTTGGCTCCAACGAGACCATGGTACGCCCGGCCGATCATCAGCCGGATGCCCCGGGACATGTACAGCCATAATAGCGGGGGCTGGTAGGTGGTGCTTGTGCTAGTAGTCCCACTTGCGCCTCCTCGGAGCGTCAGCGCGTACAGGCAGATTAGGATCGTGTTCATGCACAGCGCTTCGGAGACCACCGTGCCCGGACGGTTGACTCGGGCTGTCTCCGTGCGGTGGTGCTTTAGGGCCCGGTCGATGTGGAGGTGGTGCGCGGCGCGGAGACGATCTGCGTCGGCATTGGTGGTGGCAGACAGTAAGGCGGCGCGGTGGGTGGCCGCGACGGCGAGGATGGTGTGCAGGAGCGGCGGGTACTCGAAGGCCATTTCGGGGACGGCGAGCTGCCACATGGCCAGGACGGGGGGCAGCTGCGCGTGTCCCATCGTGTGGGCGGTGGCGGTGACGTAGTGGTGTATCAGTTGGAGGTCGGTGGGGTTGAGATTGGCTCTTTCGGGGGAGGGAAGGCTTGGTCTAAGGGGGGCTGGTCGGGATGATGCTGGTGGGGTGGGTAGCGAGCGTCTTTGCTGTCTGGAGGGCTCATAGCTGTGAATGATGGTTTGGAGGTCGGGGTATTCGCAGACCACGAAGTGGCGGATACAGGCGCTACATTCTGGTTGCTTTTCGTCGCACTGCGGATGGTGCCTGGTCAGCTTCTAAGGGAGTGATTGGGGTGGGCTAGGTGGGTCACAGGGCAGTATATACCTTGACCTTACGTCTCTTGCAGTTACGACAGCCCCGGACAGACTTACGGTGATTAAGCCTTGGAGGCATAGTGGGGGGATGAGATTGAATGATGACTCTGGGCAAGACGGATTCGGGTTGATGCTGCAGAAAGGGAAAGAATTGGTGCACACGGGTCAGGGTTTGCTTGGCTGAGATTATCGCTCTGGTCTAGTCAGTCTAACTAGCGCACGGATTGTTCTGATGCTTAACCTCAAACTCATTGTCGTCTGTTATTGTGGCGCAGTTGACACGGGTTCGGTTTGTTCGTCACTTAGGGTTAGCGTGGCCTAGAGTGGGCTGCCCTGCGGTCAACAAGACTTAGTGCACAGAGGTGATCGGCACAAGCAAGGCAGTATAAAGCTCCAATGGCTCCCTAGCAATTTGAAGATGAGGTAAATCATTCCTACTCTCTCTCTACTACTTCAGCTGTCTCTGCTGCCAATCTCAAAATGGGTCTTATCAAGACTGGAATCCAGCTCGCCGGAGCTTACGGTCTCCTCAAAGTCTCCTCCAAGTACGTGCCATATATTTAGCTAGCTCTGCCTCCAGAAGACTGTGACATACTAACTGATCCCAGAGCGGCGAACGATTATCAAGAAAAGAAGCAAAAAACTCAAGACCATCAGTGCCAATGCCATCATCATCATCATCCCGACCACCACACCCAACAGTACCGACAACCACATTATGCATATGACTCACGCATGAACTACAACCCTGGCTCTGGTCCATACCACCAATATCCTCACCAAACATCCTACAACTCCACCCCTTACCCTCCGCATCAGACTATGCCAACGGCACAATATGAAGGGTCGATACCGCCGACCGCGCAGCACTCTCAGACACAATCCCAGCCCGCAGAACTACCATGATCGCCAGCGGAGGATCCACTATGGCTTATGTTTCGACTATCGAATTGGCCGACGCGGCACTTTTGGCCCCCACGCGAAGGATCGGCTTCACGGGGCGCTTGTTGCGTTGGCTCCACTGGAAAGTGGGCCGGGACGCGGGTGGCCGGCATGAAGCCCTTCAACCCTGACCGATTTTCACCCCGGCCGTCGACAAGCCTCGACATGGTTTCCCATTCGGACCAGGACCTCAATGGCACTGTACTAGCCAGAGATCAATATCGCTATTGGCTATGACTAACGAATAAGCTCGATGCTTATCATTTGTGTCTTTTTTATATTATGCATATACCCCTGTTTGATCTGTACTCGGAGCAAATTGCATAGAAGGGGGCGTTGAAATCTTGCTTGCCAACTGCTCTGCCTGCTCAAATTCATCCACAAGTTAGAAGAATAAGATATTCATCTTGATTTGTCCCAAGAAACACAAACATTGAATGCTCCACAACATAACTAGTCCTTTGCTCGCCTGGGGGATTCTGCCATTCACATTGCAGCATCTTGTTTGTGACCGGCCAGCCTTCCACATATTCATTGAGCCATTAAGTTGATCACTGTGAAAGGCGGTGTAGTGCTATCTTTCTGTACAGTTGTCTCATAGGCCGGGCCTGTGTCTTTTCTTCTTGTTTTCTTCTTACCCACTTACACACTCTCTCTTAGAAAATAACCTGCCTAGCCCGGTAACTAAACAATCCCGAGCTCTAGTGTTTGGTGTCCTGCTTAGAGGGGGTGGATCAAAGTTTATTCGACAGTAAAAGAATTTACTCCTTTGGTATGAATCAAGAGATCTTGCATGTTGTTGTTGCGTGCCTTCCAACTGGAATCACAATGGGCAGCTAGCTCCAGCCAAACATCCAGCCAACCAACAAACCTCTCTGTCTCTTAATCTAAACACACCTTAGCCGGGCCGTGCCTGAAGATCGGGAAAGGTTCCTTTGAAATCACCGTTACCGATTACGCACCCCCTTGCTCCAGTCTCTGGTCCCCATGCATTGCAAAAGCGCAAGCAGGAAGGGTTGAAGACACTAAATGAACTTCATACCCAACGCCCCAGCGCTGAAGAAATTAGACTGCCGTCAATATTGATAGGTACACAAGTCGCCGAAGCTGTCAAGCAAGCAGGTCAGCAAGATTGACAAAGACAAGTCCAAAGGTCTTCGTACGAACATTGGAGGTGATTATCGTGATCGTTGTCATGGATGTCTCAATCCCCACACGCACACATCCCGAGGAGACATAAAGCAGCGTCTTGCGCAGACCGTATTGACGCCACGAACGCTTCGAGGTCTTTTCCACCCTCCTTTGCCCCACGAAGAGCGTGAACGAAACCGCGCCTCAAGTGCCATCGCGGAGGCTTCCGCTATGCAGTTGCCGCATGCCCCTACTCTGTTGCAACTCGCCGAGTGGAAATTAGCCCAGGAAAGTTTTAGGAACTATACCAACGAGGAAAGTTTGCTGAGGACAATTCAGTCGCAGGATAGGACCATTACACAGTTAGAAGATATAATTCGCAATATTGCTTGTATTTTTAGCATTCCTGACCCTACGATTCCCCCTGCTCCTGTTACCGCACAAGAGAACTCGCACCATCGTTGGTCATCCATGCCACTGCAGGAGCGGAAGTGGAAGAGGAAGACGAGCAGGAAGACGATGAAGAGGGCGCTGAGGATGATGCCATTAAGGAGGATGATAATGCCGACGTGGAGTGACGCGTCAGTCAGTTGAGGACTGCTTGCATACTTTTCTCTTTCATATGTCTTATATGTCTTCCCTTTGTTATCTCAGTCTCTTTTCTATGAAAAGTCCCTTATTATGAGGATTTGTTGACCACATGGGATCAAGTGAGGCGGCAAGAGCGCGGTGGCAGGATGGTGCCTGCCTTCCTCCCTTCTCTCCCCTCCTTCTTCACATAGTCGTCGTTTTTCATAGATCGCTTCATCGTTCTAAGAAATCAGATCATATTCATTCATTTGGCTGCCTCTCACGGCGCATATATTAGTTCCATTCTTCCTTGTAAGCCCTCCTGGTGGTCTCATTTGGTGGGACGAGATTCACCAGACTACAACTCACCCGCCCGAGACGAAGTTTCCGGCAAAACCAAGACAATTAAGGGAAATGGGGAACTTCTGGCCTACCCGGGGAAGGATTATTCGTCATGCAAGGTACGGACGAATACAACAAGACGGACGGTAAGGATACTGCTGATGCCCAATCGCTTCGTTGAGTTCCGCGCCACCAAAACACCATGTTAACTGAGCGTGACAAAGGTGAAAACAAGGGTACGGATGGATCTTATACGGCGCTTCGAGGCACCAGGAGGTTTCGGTCATGCTGACTGGAACACGAGGTATCTCCATGAAAAACGAGCGTGGTTTCGGTGCCGACAATGAGGGAGCCGATTGTGGTGTCAGGTCCTCCGCTGAGACTAAACACCAATGATAGATAACAGAGTACACCACTGTGGTCGGGTAACCTAGAAGAGCGACTTCTCTGACAAAGCCTATCAGACTACAACTTGTGGGCAGGAAGCCAAGAGCTAGTAAGTCAGCGCACGATCGTTCTGTTCCTATGTTCGACAGGAATGATTACAGTCAAATATCCACTACAGAACGATCGCACGAAGCGGTCGAGGGATTGAATGATTAGAATCATGAGACAACAAATGCTTGAATCGGAACAGACATTGATTTGGGTACTTTAGATGTTAACTACACACCGAAATCCGCCATTTCTTGTTCCTCAGGGCAGATGCATCGTGTTGAATAGACGGTTACCAGTATCTGTTCCCCTTGTACCCTTGTACTGATTATCAGACTTGCGAAGTGCTATCACCGTAAGATCTCCATGGCGCACCAGCGCCTGTAGCGGACTAAACTTGGCGATTGATCGGGTCTGCACCACGCCAGCAACCACGATGATGCGCACATCAGGAGTCAGCTTCCGAATGTGACGGACAAACTCGGCCACTGTCTTTCCGCTGTCGATGACCCAGTCTGCCAAGATGACCGTCTTACGATTCTGCAAATGACCGTGGCGAACATCGCCTGGTGTCTTCGCGTGGATGAAAGCAGCTTCAGGCAGGTAGTCGTAAATGCCACGAGCCAGAGGTTCCCCACCTCGCATCAAAGCAATTATGGTCGTATGACGCTGATCCTTGAGTTGATGGCCGGTGACTTGATGGCCTTGCACATGGGGAATAGGGTAGTCTTCGACACCAACGATGTTGGACAAGTAAGCAAGCGCGAGGAATTTTCCAGCGTCGCGATGGGCGTCTTGGAGCGCGGGTCCGGATATCGAGGCATCCCTCGTGGGAGTGGTAAGTACTCGGGAGGCATTGATATTATCGGTTGCGTCGATAAATGCGAGTTCTTTCGAGCCACAAAAGAGCAGGTCTAGAAACATCTGACTGTCGAGAGTGGTGATCGATAGCACTTTTGTGTCTAGTCGTGGTGATGAAGTAGCAGGCAGCAAGACCTGTTTCGGCAGGAATTGGTCACTACCATCGATTGCAGCCATCAAGGACCCGTCCATTGTTGTGCTTCGATTAGTTTGTTCGCCAACGATGACGAACGCCTGCGCAGCATTTCGCAACATGCCCAAGTCCATGGGACTATCACCAAAGGCCCAGACTTTCACCTCCAAGGTTGTCCGCAGGTAGTCGGCCAGAGCAACTTTGACGGTCGGACTGACAACAAACATGTCATCAATGCGCCCTCCACCAACAACTTTTATCTTGTCGAACAAGCCTTCTCGTGTCAGGATCTTTTCCCAGACTAGCCGTATGCTTGATGTAACCACCACTGCTTTGACGCAAGTACCGTCAGATACCAGCCGCAGCAAGTTGACGAATTCAGGATGCATATCCACGGTCGAAGCAACCTCGTCACAGATGTCGTCGAACTCCTGATTATCAGTAGCCTCTTCGTACAGAAAAACAGCTTGACGGAAGGCAGCGTAGCTGTACCCAAGCGGACCACTAAATAGCCGCCTTAAGGGACATTCAAGACCATTAGACTCATCAGAGGGATGACGCTGCCGGTATGTCCTCCACCAAAGCTCCCCAGTATCCTGAGAACACAGCGTTCTGTCCGCGTCCAGCATCAAAACAGTCATCCCAGACAAGTTATCACCAAGTGCCTCCATGAGATTATGTTTAGCAAGATGGAGATCAGAATCTTCGTCGTGGTGCCAAACACTTCCGATAAGACTCGCAGCATCTTGATGGGCGCCCAGAAGCGAAAAGATGATTCCGTGCTCGTGGCAAAGTCTCTGCAACTTAGATTTCTCAGCTCTCTGCCATGCCCGAATGTGGGAGACCGGGAGACGGGGACGTTTTCTGGCTGTATCCTTTTCCCGATAGCCCTGAATCACTTCAGGAGCAACGTCCAAGTAGAGGATGTGAGTGTATGTTGCCAGATCTCCTTGGGTGCATACGACCTTCCCAACTGACTCGTTCAGCTCCCAGAACATGAAATGGCCAGTGACGACGGTGACCCGGCCGTCTTTTGAACTCTCCCCGATCTTCTTAATCGCCTTTTCACGATACTCTCGCTGTCGCCGGTCCGAGGCTTTTTTGAAGCCCGGCAAGCCACCGTCCGCAATATCACCAATCACTTTGGAACCTTCGTGGTAGATGTACTTCTCGTTACCAAGTTGCTTTTGAAGTTCGCTGAGAAGGTGGGACTTCCCACATCCGGGGATACCGTAGAGGCCGATGATGGGGTGTCTCTGGCTAGTGTTTACACTGGTCATGTTGAGGGTCGCTTTGATGACAGCTGAAAGATGAAGGAATGATGATAGTCAATCTGAGCTTGATGGAGGAGGATGAAGAGGATGAACAAGGACCGACCTCAGTAAGGGATAGTCGTTTGGATACTTGTAGGAGGGGTTGCTTGTATCAATTCACAAGACGCCACCTCTCCCGCAAACAGCAAAGGTTTGTGCGGTGGCAGGGAAGTTTATGCTGCCTGGCTGAAAGATTGCTTCCATGTACCTTGGTGAATACCTCAGTTGCTAAGGGGTTTTCGCCATAATTTCTTCATAGGCTTCAGAGCTATCGTTTCTGACATGTCTATCTAGTAAACAACCAGGTCAATATCCACATGGAGATGCTGAGATTGAGAAGATATCCACAAGCAGCCTCTACCTCGCCTGCCCGATAGTATGCCTAGATTACGCACTGATAGCCAGACTGGAAAAGCAGCTCTCTGTTTGCCATTTCGTTTGCAAAAAACACTTCTTTGCAGTTGTGCCTGAGGCCGCACATTCCCCGTGGAGAAAGGGCGGTGGCAGAATCCAATCGACGCTAGTCCATTCTGGGAATGCTGAAGGCAGTGACAATGATTGGCCAGATTAATCGAGCGCGATAGCAGCTCGGCATGCAGCAACGCAGCAGCTGATAGACGGGACGCCCTCCTTCTCGTTTCAAACAATCGACAGCCCACCTAACTTATCGCATAACAACAAACCAAAGCGTTGGATGGAAATGTTTGTGGAGCCTAGTACGCGACAGCGTCGCGCACGAGTAGAGAGAGGCCGGTCACGGAATGGTGAGTTGGCATCAACCTCGCGCGGCACAATGCAGGACTCACGCGGACAATCGCATATCAGGATGTCAGACTTGCCTGAGCAAGCGCGTCAAGTGTGATGAGCAACATCCGCACTGCAAACGATGCGTCCGGCTTGGTCTGACATGCGAGTGGGGACGGGGAAAGCAGCCTCTGGCAGCGAGGAGAAGGGGGCTAGGTCCGATCAAACATCGCGACAGTAGTCGCTGGGCGCCTCCTTCGATTCATCCACGACAGGGGGATGAACTCAATCAGGGCGATATTGAGACTGGTATGCAAGTAACGACAGAAGTCTCAAACTTGGGATTTGTATCACCTCAAGGACTCTCTCCATCGACACCAGTCTCCAGCACCGACTCCCCAGCATTGACACAGTCGGCGATGGAGTCCTCAATAAATGCATCAGAGTCTGTTGTGAACAGTCACGATCAAGAGGGACTTTCTATGTACCCGTGTTCCCAGTCTATTAGCGACCTGCGTTTCGACTCATTGGACAATTCCGGTCCAAACTCACCGTTATCGATAATGTCCCGACACGGCCGGTCTTCTATCGAATCATCAAGCCCAAGCGTGCCCAGCTGGTTGATCGCAGCCACACCTCTCCTTTTGGCTGACCCCTTTACCGGCCCATCTATTGGTAGTAGCGACACAGAAGCTGTCTCCTTTCATCGAAGTGTCTTTGCATCCTTAAAATCTTCTCGTCCACCATCGTTATCAGCACATTCGCTGTTCCTCGATCACGCATGGGACAAAAAGATGGCCTTTCATTTCCTACTCGCCCTCTCCCATAGCGAGCTCGCCATTCATTTTGGGTATGGAGCCCGTCCGACACCAGAGTCATGTCTTCATTTGCAGCGAGGGTCTGAGCTCCTTGTCCAGGCACGTAACCCCGTCGCACCCACCGATCATCTAGAGCTGTTGCTTTCATTTTTGTACATCTTCATGTTCTGGATGCGACGAGAACAACTTTCACCATTGAAGCTCCGGGCTTTAAGTGCCACTGTGCTTGCATACATTCGAGAATTTGATCTACTTCAGGTCTGCACCAGCGACGAGATACACTCGCTACCAAAGCCCAGCACAAACACGGTGCCATACAAAGTCCTGCTATCACGCGTCCTCATTTATCTCTACGACAGAGA